GGAAATGGGAAAGAAAATGTAAAAGAAACGAAAATAAGGCTGTTTTTAACATAAGCCATGCCAAATTTCAATTTCCTCACCTGTTTGAAATCATAAACAACATCGACCTCTCCTGGGGCATCGGGACTGGTGTCGCCATTACTGGGGATGTGGAAAGTTTCTGTTCCCTTTTTGGTGTCGATTTTAATAGTTTCGTCTAGATCTTTAGCTCCATCCTTGACTTTAACTTTGTACTCTGAAACCTTATCGTTCAAGGTAAAAAAGAAATAATATTAAAATAAATACATCATCATCATCATCATCATCATCATCAGAGTATCATCAAAAATAATCAGAGTATCCACTATTCCACCTATTTGGAACGTTACGAGGCCTTGCAAGAATGTTTACACGAAGAAATTCATCAGTAAAGTTAGGAATCACCTTGTACAGGGTAATAGGGTCAATAGGGACTATCATGGGAAATAAAATTAAAGCTGTAATTTTCGAAATAGTCATTCTGAAGCTTAAGATTTTGGCCATCCACTGGTTTACAAGGCCGACAAGCATTCGTGTTGCATTGGAAAATTGAGATGTTCGAGTTCTCTTTAAAATCATTTGAAAACCAGCGCTATTCCCTGCCCGTTTTTACAAAACTAGTGCAGAAAAAGCAGTGACCTACAGAGTATCATTGGTTTAGAAAGAGCTAGGATACGATCAGTGGTGGGAGTGAAATTCGAAAATCAACCTGGTGCATCAAATGCATGTATCGACTTGATTCCATACCTTTTTATCGTCTGCTCCGCCTTTATAAACTGTCGCTCCCGAAGCGACAACAACAAAGACAGCAAAGGAAAGGATGAAAACTTTAAACTCCTGGTGAAATAAAAAGAATAAAAACTAGCAAATTCATCAAGCTTACTTGACTACAAGGTGTCAAAAGTAAGTAGCTCATTTTAATACTTGACTTACCATTCTGCCCCCTCGAAAAAACGGTTCTTTCTTCTTCTGATCTTGCTTTTGAAGCACAGACTACTCAATTTGAAAGTGAATGCTGAAGACGTACAAATCAGCCACTTTTATACCATCTGTTAGCCTGCTTCATCTTCCTGGTTCTTAACGCGATGCCCAGGCCTTTTACGAAACGAGCCTTCCTTCAGCGCAAATATCCCCCAAACGTGCGGCGATATTTACCGCAAAAACCATGAGTTTGATGAAAGCAACAACGTTTTCTATAACTTTAACTAGGTCGTGAGGTCAGGTGAAGTGAGAGGCACAGCACGCGTCACAGAGCTGAAACATAAGAAATATAAGAAATAATAATAAGACAATTATAACGCGCTCTTTCCTAAGGGTCCAAACGCACTATTTACAGTTAAAATTCAAAAACTACCATCAAAGTTAAAATTTAAAAACCACAATTGAAAAATACAAGGTATTTTCGTGGCGACGCAAAAGCTATCCGGTAAAGTGTCAACATAATCTTAGACTGTCTCGGCTCTTTTATAAACGTCTTTCTACTCCTTATTCCCAAGGCGAATCATTTGAAACTCATACACAACGTTAATTTCCTGTTCGTGAAAAACCACACAAATTGTTAAAATATATCCATTTCTTACGCTAAAATAAGCTGTTTTTTGTTGCTTGTGGTTTACCTAAGCACGTGATGAGTTGAAACAGCTCAACAGGAATGCCGAACGCAGCTGCTCGTGTAGTTATTCTTTTGCCCAAGTTCTGTCATATTACTTGCCGTGCCTACTTATGACATAAATAGTTATGGCCGTCGTCCTTTTTCTGTTTTTGCACCGCTTCGATCTTAGGAACAGTCTCCCTCAGCACATTAGGGATGCTGGGTCACTGGACATTTTTAAAAGACAGCTGAAAACTGTTCTTTTTAGTCGCGCCTTTTTAAATTCTATTTGATGACGTGACAGTGGTGTTTTATATCTTACATTGTTTTCTCTTTAGCTTACATATAGGTTTAAGTTTATTGCCAACCTTCATACATCGTACATAATCTTGTTATTACAAAAAATATATGTAGTTAAGGCAAAGGGAAGCACAGCAAGCTCTGATGAGCTTTTTTAAGGTTTCCTGATGATTCCTTTACATCAGGGACCTTAAGCAAAGACGACGACGACGGCGGTGAAAACGTCGGTAAAAAAATGAATTTGCGTTCTTTCAAACTTAATCGCATCTATTTGGATCCGTTCAATATGTCAAATGCAGGCGACTTTTCTTGGAGTTGAATTTTTAAGGATTTTATTCAGGCTCAAAAAGATGAAGGGAAATTCGTCGTAGTATCTCCACGGCCTCCATAAAACGTCAAATTAGGAGGTTTCACGTCGTAGTCGTGTAGTGGATGTCAAAGAAATGTACTAAAAAGCGTGATGCACGTGCAGAGCTGTTGTTTTGATCATCAAACCTATTGTTTTCTTGAAGTCGTCGTCGTGGTTGCTCAAGCTCCCTAATTGTTGAAAAAGAGGTAGCATAATGAGTATCACTTGACATATTAATCAAGGTATCAAAGAGTATTATTAGCTGATTTTACATATGTATGTAATGCTTTCTGAAATGCTTTTCTTGATTTTAATTCCTTTAAATCATTTGGTAAACTATTCCATATTATTGCTCCTCCATACTGAAGAGATAATTTTCCATAATTTGTTCTTTTAAAACCCACGTGCATTTTTGAAGCTGACCTTATATTATGGGAGTGAATACTATCATTTCTTACGATGTAGTCATTAAAAGTTTCAGGAAGTTTGCCATAATAATGTAAGTACATGAAGTTTCCAATTAGGTGTTAATAGCTTTTGTAGTTTTTAATTGCAGTTCTTAGATTTTAACTGTAAATAGCACCTCTCTACCCTTCGTAAAAGGCGCGCAATAATTGTCTTATCACTATTATTTATTATTATTATCTACAGATGTTTTAGCTCTGTGACGCGTGCTGTGACTCTCACTTCACCTGACCTCACGACCCAGTTATAGCTATAGTAGAAGTTCTTGCTTTGATCAAACTCTTTATTGCTTAAAGCGAATATATGAATGCAGTGTCGCATGACACTTGTGCATGACAGAAATCATCGAACAAAGAATTAACTCTGAACTGTATAATGTATTAAACATGAAATTTTCACTGAACGATTCCGGTGGGAAATGAACCATCACCCGACAACTGACGAAAGTCCAATAAATATAGTATAATTTGCTTCATTGGCATTTTATTAACTCACTTACCAGGGTCGTAGCTTGGTTTTTTGTAGTGGGGGGCATTATCGCGAATGCCGAAGGCACGAGCCTCTTAGTGGGGTCTGGGGGTATCCTACCCTAGAAAATTTTAAATTTGGAGGCTCCGAAACGCTTTTTTCAGCCCTTGTCATGAAATATGTCCCCGAAAAATCGACCTCGAATATGAAAATGGCAAACAATTGCAAGTCACTATAACCAAAATAACTGAGTCTAAAGAAAAAACAAATCTGTCCACAGACTTGATGTGTCTATCTTAACAGGTCCAAGGGGGGTAGCTGTCCCCCTTGCCCCTCCGCTAGCTACGTACGGCTCTGCTTACCGTAATTCTCTTTATGAACTTTTTAACTGTTTTACGACAATGATGGTAGACTTGGCTTAGTGTGGTGTTTAAACTAAAGAACTGCAGGTATAAAGAAACCACACCAGCTCAACTTGAATTTTCTTCCGACCATTTAATGCCCTTTAACGAGTGAGTCAAACGATGAAAGATCACTTATGCTGTTCCGAGTGCTCTGAGCTACGAGGCCAGACAGATCAATATGGGAAGGGTACACTAAAGGTTGTACTTCGCAGCACAGCTGCCTATACAACTATTCAGAAAATTGTATCAATGTGTAAACTTAAACTGAAAAAAAAAATCGTAATAAATCCTTGTTATTGTTCTACGTGTGTCTTCATTATTGCGCAACTTTTATCTTCAGCTTTACTGTCATTTTCCCTGATTTTTTTTATAAATTATAGCTACTGTCAAATAGCCAAGTTTGGTAGCAAAAGTAGGAGTACGTGAATGAAATTCTGTCCAGTTAAAACAAAATTTAAAAATAATGTTAATCAAGAAAACAGTTACTTATAATTTCGTGACATTAAGCAGCTTATATCACTAATTGGCGTCAATTCATGGTTTTTGCGGTAAATATCGCAGCACGTTTGGGGCATATTTGCGCTGAAGGCAGGCTCGTTCCGTAAAAGGCCTGGGCATCACGTTAAGAACCAGGAAGATGAAGCAGGCTAACAGATGGCATAAAAGTGGCTGATTTGTACGTCTTCACCATTCACTTTCACATTGAGTAGTCTGTGCTTCAAAAGCAAGATCAGAAGAAAAAAAGAACCGTTTTTTCGAGGGGCTAGAATGGTAAGTCAAGTATTATCACAAGTTCAAGAAAATGAGCTACTTACTTTTGACACCTTGTAGTCAAGTAAGCTTAATGAATTTGTTAGTTTTTCTTCTTATTTTATCACCAGGAGTTTAAAGTTTTCATCCTTTCCTTTGCTGTCTTTGTTGTTGTCGCTTCAGGAGCGACAGTTTATAAAAGCGGAGCAGACGATAAAAAGGTATGGAAGCAAGTCGATACATGCATTTGATGCACCTGGTTGATTTTCGAATTTCACTCCCACCACTGATCGTATGCTAACTCGTTCTAAACCAATGATACTCTGTAGATCACTGCTTTTTCTGCACTAGTTTTGTAAAAACGGGCAGGGAATAGCGCTGGTTTTCAAATGATTTAAAGAGAACTCGAACATCTCAATTTTCCAATGCTACGTTTTTATGAAAACATGTCCGCAACACGAATGCTTGTCAGCCTTGTAAACCAGTGGATGACCAACATCTTAAGCTTCAGAATGACTATTTCGAAAATTAAACCTTTAACTTTTTCCCATGATAGTCCCTATTGTCCTGTACAAGGTGATTCCTAACTTTACTGATGAATTTCTTCATGTAAACATTCTTGCAGGGCCTCGAAGCATTCCAAACAGGTGGAATAGTGGATACTCTGATTATTTTTTATGATACTCTGATGATGATGATGATGTATTTATTTTAATATTATTTCTTTTTTACCTTGAACGATAAGGTTTCAGAGTACAAAGTTAAAGTCAAGGATGGAGCTAAAGATCTAGACGAAACTATTAAAATCGACACCAAAAAGGGAACAGAAACTTTCCACATCCCCAGTAATGGCGACACCAGTCCCGATGCCCCAGGAGAGGTCGATGTTGTTTATGATTTCAAACAGGTTAGGAAATTGAAATTTAGCATATAGTATATGTTAAAAACAGCCTTCCTTTCGTTTCTTTTACATTCTCTTTCCCATTCCCTTCCTTCCCTTTTGTTTCCTTCGATTTTTCCTTCCCTTTCCTCTTTGCAGAATGACGGCTACTTTAACTGCTCTTTCTCTCTCTATCTTTCTCTCTCTCTCCCTGATTTTGCCCATTAGTTTTGTATAAAGCTATGCACCCCTTGCACTAAATAATCTCTTAAAAAATAAAAATTATTTGTCGAGTACATACGTACGTAACTGTTGTCATTTTTGTCTATTTGCATAGAACATGGCCATGCACCGAATGTCCAATCAGAGAGCTTGTTTTCTAAGTGACTCCACTGACAATCTACCAAAGCCTGCTGACCTCAAGAAATTACTTGAAACGGTAATTACATTTTCAGGAAATGATTATTTACTACATCTAAGGCTAATGAAAATCACCTAAAGAGAAAAAAAATTCGTGTAGGACACTTTTTTGGCTTCAAGTTAAGCCGAGTATTTGAATGATCAATACTACCAGTTTTTAACTTTATTTTCTGAACTCAGTGATAGTGAAACTGCATTATGTACTATACTTCTTTAGCCATCATCTACATCTAATAATATTGGGGAGAGCTATTACATTTTGATGGCATTGAAGCTATTTTTGTCTGTTTGTTTTTCACTCCTTTAGATGATGACGAAACATCGCTGTTCGTTGAACTAAATATTTACCCGCGTGTGGGAACTGTAACCTCATCTAAAATGGCCTCCATATTAAGCCACCTTAGTTCAACTTGCGTGGAAACTGTTTATTTCTCATTTGTGGGAGATAAATTGTGTAGTATTTCAGCTTTTGCAGCATCTGATTCTGTTTTGTAAGATTTTTCACAAAAGAGGGAAAAACTCGCTTTTTAGCTTTAAATGTTGAGCAAGAACCAACTTTTACGTAAACTGGCGACAATTCATACAAAGATTTAGACCCGCACGTTTTAGGCAAACTGGAAAAGTCAGATTTAAGCTCACATTTTCTAATTAGGAAATAAACAGACCAAAACTCTCTAATCAAGTAATTCTTAAGGATAAACCTGACATGAAAGGTATTATTTTTGCGCAGATATGATTAACAAGTGAAAATTCGAAAACCCGTCAGGGAAATTTTCAGTTGGCTACGACCGCGGTACAAATTGATATTAAAATATTTTCTCTTTTGTCTCGAATTTATTTACGCTTGTAAAATAGACGAGGGAAACCAAAAAAAATTACACGGCTATTCCGCTATTCTGTAGGAGTAGACGAAGATGGAGAGCCAATGAAGAGGTTCCTTGTACAGTATTTTCCCACCTAAATTAGTCGTAAGCATATTTGCTATTTTCCCTTCAGCAATGGAATCAGGGTAGCAGCCGGGCAGAGACACAAGGGGAGACTGAATATACTGTTGTTGGTACTGTCAATGATCGCTCGTTCCTGAGTGATGAAATGGCCGCCATGTGTGCTAAGTTGCCCATTTATCGTATCAAGCAGAATAGCCTCCCGGCCCAGCGTAAGTAAAACAGACGTTGCTTCAAGTAAAAAATTATGTATAGATATGTTTTTGAAGAGTAGACAAGCCTATCTGGAACAACAACAGCAAACACAAGACAAAACAACAACATTACGCTCTAGGTTAGTGCCAATAATAACCACGCCTCAGTCGTTTGTAGAAGTTTACTCGCTCGTTATACTTTAGAGAACCGTGCGGCCCTATAAGTGAGAAAAATTGTAAAAAAATTGCGTTACTTCCGACTGCCACCAAATTAGATGGTTTTAGCTTGACTTGAAGATAACAGACTCTTTCTGTGAGTAAACACTCAGCACGAGGTGACAGCGAAGTATGCAAAGAGGGTCTTAGCCTCATTTGCATAATAGGGTAGCATCAGGAAAAAAAAAAAGAAAGACTAAATCATCTGCAATGTTTTTAAGCTGATTGGTGGTCTGTTTTGCTGGATAACTAGAGAAATATTTAGAAATTTTTTTTTGCCCTTCCAAATGAGGTATAGCTTTTTAAGCTAGAGTAAATAACAGTGGAGATCTTTTTTTTTTAATGTGTAGTCAGATTTGCTGTTTGCGCGCCGATCAGAAATGATTTTTAAAACCTGTTTTACTATCAGCATCATAATTCATAATGACAATCTAACAAAATTTTTTGCCTTATTTTAAAGGAACAAAACGTGCCTGGTGTTTCCGAGTTTGCTATAGAAGGTGCTGGGGCAGCTTTTGTGGGCATATTTGTGTGGTGCGTTGTAATTAAGGCTAATAAAGAGCCTTAAACTAAAGTGGCTAAGATTATACAAAGGCATTAATGGTGATTAGATAAATATGATCCAGTAAAAACTTCAATCTGCGATTTAGGATAACGCTATTGATTTTCGAGCAGAAAAAGAACAGAGCAAAACACAAATGAAAATATTAGACATGCACGCTACTTATTTTTGTTTGTTAAGCTTTTTTGTAACAAATTTTGTTTGACAAGTTAAGACGCGAAAGCTAAAAAGCGTTAACAGAGCCATTTTATGGAAATTCGATCTCAAATCTCTCTTTCTTCGCCTTTTCGCTTTTCCTTTTTTATACAGTACTGGCAGTTAAAAATGATGATGGTTTGGAAACAAAAGGCGAAAAAACCTCACTCACAAATCATTGACAAATGTAAAAGTTCTTAAACAAAATTTCATTGATCTGACGATAAGTGTTCAGAAGGCAATTTGCCACAATGCCGAAATCGCACAGTAAGTTGCCAACTGACAAAAATACTTGATTTTAGCGTTGTATCGACGTTGCACTTTCATAAAACACTGAACATGAATTCTTAACGAATTTTTCTTTTGTGATACATAATTTTAGATACTCATTTTAAATGGTGCAAATAGATAAACAACGAATAAACATGGAAGAAATAGTAAATAAAGCCACTCATAAGTTATAACACCGCATTTGGCTTGTTTGTTACTTATCGTGTATTAAGGGTTCAGGGTCAACACCTCTTCAGTTCTCTTCAAACTTTTAATGCGTATAAGCTAGCATCCTGCACGGGAAAAGAAGCAAATTTCGATCTTCATTTTTGTGCTCGATCGAGTAGTCGCTGTAATGTCTTCCACTATACTTATATATTCCGCGCGCTAAAATTCTGTTTTGGAGTTCTGCTAAGATGTTCATATCCCGCCTTTCTTAAAGCCGGGCGGTTCTTATTATCAGCGAGTATGATTATGGAGCATTTTTTCAGTTTACCTATCCCGCTCTTTTCTCTAGACAATATTCTTAGACTAGGCGCCACTGGGACAGCTAGTTTTATTATTTATTGAAAATATTTTTAAGTTCTTAAGAAGCTTACCTCCTCGTAGACTTTCTTCTGAACTTTGCCTCATTTTTCGGCACAGTTTCAGGATATAAACATAGGTTTTTTTTCTTGCAGATACTCCTCAACAGGTAGATAATTTCAATCTAGCAATGTTTTGCGTATTCTTGCTTTCCTTCCGTTCAGCTATTTCGTTTTCGGACAGCCGCGTGAGCGCCATTTTCTTTTAGTTCACTCGTGAATAAACAGCTGGGCTGCGACGTCTGGAAGCGAGGTTGATCGATTGTGTATTTAGCATCGTCCAAATTTGGTCAACGCCAGTTTGTTTTGAAGAATTAATTCTTCCCCTTTGTCCCTTCCCCCCTACAAAAAATAGAAAGACTCAATTATGAAGACTGTGCAGTGAACTACTCGAATAATTTGTGAAAAATTATTTTTCATAGAGTTAACATTGTATTTGTCGGGTACCCGGTCGCAAAAAGTGTCTAGGAAGTCTAAAACAGTAGAACCGAAGCACACGCCCTTTTTCTCGTAATATGGAAAGAACTAACTTTAGAGGATACTATCAAGGTTTGAACATATTATTTTTTGAGCCTCTAACTGGTGGCAAATGTGTTAAGAATAGTGCTAGCCTTTCGGGGCTTTAACCTCTCCCCCTCCCCCCCAAAGTTTTTCTAACCTGCGAACAGGCTGTCCTTCTCATCTTGTTCTTTCCCCGTCCGCCGACGTTCAAGCTCCGATAAAATAAAGAATCCCTGATCGCGGGTCGCCATGTCTTTGAATCTACCATTATTAACAGTGTCTGGAAGAGTATGGTTTTGAATAGCCGATCATCCGCCGGGAAAATTCTAGCCTTATATACTGAAAGGGCACAGACGGCAAATTGTTTTGCTCTAAATATGTAGAAGTAGCCTCGTACCTAAGAAAATGTGGTAATATACCCATCCGAGAAATTTTGGTAATCATGTGACCGTACGCCCGAAAGTCCGTCCGTCCGTCCGCACCACAGGCATACCAATGTAAAAATAACTCAATCAACAGTTATGGCAACCCAAATGCAACTCGAGGTTATTTTGGCGAGAAATCGCATAGCCACCCACGTATGGTGAAGAAGAGACAATTAAAGAGTCAATGAAGACGAAAACGGAAAGCTTAGATTAATTGTCATGTTCACAAATTTGGAATATATATAGAGAGAAAAACAGAGAAAAAGAGAAAGAAGGAGACAGGACAGCGAAGCTCAACGAGAAAAAGAGCGACAGAGAGCCAGAGCGAGAGATAAAAAAACGAAGGAGACATTTTTTGTTGGAAGAACAACATGGAAAATTTTTAGCGGCCACCAAGGTGAAAATGAGCGGCAGTGAAAAAAAAGTGAACAAGAACACGTACGACACTTCCTCCATTAAACATTTAACAAGGACTTTTCTGAAAGTTTACGTTGTAATCGTGCAAAACAACGGCAAAGAAATGTCCAAAAATGTAATAGGCCATTTTAAAGTTCTGTGCTCAGTGCTCTGGCCTTTGAGTAGAAGCGAGGCTGGCGGTTACCTTGTTTCGTTACAAACCTTCTTGTTTTTCATATGTAAATGATCATGTTCACGGGCTTGTTAGCATGAGAATACCACGATTCGCACATGTAAAACAGGAAGGCTTGTAACAAAACAAGGTCACCGCCAGCCTCGCTTCTATTCAAAGTCCAGGGCACTGAGCACACAACCGCAAAATGGCCTAATAGGCCTTTGTTGATTTTTCACCATTTTCGTTGTCTTTGCAGCTTGGTATTACACGATTTTATATTTTGTTTGAGAAACCGTGAGCTTCGCTTTTAGCCCTGGCGAAATCTACACAGCTATTTCGAGAAAGATTGTCGAAAAAAATGTGCACGCGACAATACACTGTTCCTGACACTGTAGCTGTCAAACCTACTTTTGTTGCTTTCCTTTAGCACTCGCAAACATGCGTCCATTGCCTCTCGTACCATTCTTTCAAATTTCTTTGAAGGAACAATGAACTCAAAACTACCCACAATACCTTTCTGGATTGTCGCGTGCACTTTTCCGGACAACCGTTCTTGAAATAGCTGTATATTAACTGTTCCTCAGTAGGATGCCTAAAATGTGATCAATTAGACACGGTTTCGGCTCCATTGAAGCCTACACATTGCAGAACATTTTAGGTGGGCAGTTAGTCCTGAGGTCTGGTCTTCTTGATTTAGAGGTGAGTTGGGATAAGCAGACCTGTTGGTCTTCTCGTTTTTCCTTTAAGAATGCTTTTAGCTCATCAGATTTGCCATACAGCCTTTACTTTCTCCAGAGTAACGTTAGTAGTTTATCCCCGCGAGTGGGTAACATTGTTCGAGATAGACGCAATTGTTCTTACTCACAAGGCATAATCCTGATACCTTATTCGGTTTATTGGTCCACAGGCGAGCCAAACTCACGTTACGATAGCCTGCGTAGCTGGCGGTATTGTGTGGGTGCGAGATTAAAGTTTTGGCGGCGAAGCCGTGTTCCAAAAAAAAGGAGTAGGGACGAGGCGGTTGAAATACCGCCTGCCAGAAAACCCCGGTATTTTGAATGGTCCGCACACCAGTGTGCGGGGAAACGGATTGGTCGAGGGCCATACATATGTCAATCATGTTAGATGAGCCTTCGCGTTTATTTCCCAATTTAGGGAGCAGATGGCAAACTGGAGAAGACGTA